TGAACAGCATCCCATCCTTCCAGCGTGTCAACCTCACCACTCAGTGTGGTGTCACCTGCAAACTTACTGAGGGTGCACTCAATCCCATCATCTATGTCACTGATGAAGATATTAAACAGCACTGGTCCCAGAACAGACCCCTGAGGGACACTGCTTGTTACTGATCTCCATCTGGACATTGAGCCGTTGACCACTACCCTCTGGAAGCGACCAACCAACAGATTTCTTATCCATGGAACAGTCCACCCATCAAATCCATGTCTCTCCAGTTCAGAGAGAAGGATGTTGTGGTAGACTGAGTCAAAGGCCTTGGAGAAATCCAGATAGATGATGTCCATGGGTCTTCCCTTGTCCACTGCTATGGTCACTCCCTCGTAGAAAGCCGCTAAGTTGGTGAGGCAGGACTTGCCTTTGATGAAGCCATGCTGGCTGTCTCAAATGACCTCCCTGTCCTCCAGGTGCCTCAGCATGGTTTCCAGGATGACCTGTTCCATGATCTTCCCTGGCACAGAGGTAAGGCTGACGGGCTGGTAGTTCCCAGGGTCCTCCTTGCTACCCTTTCTAAAAATGGGTGCGATGTTAGCCTTCTTCATGCTAACTGATGGGAGCAGAGGGGTAGGGAGGAGAAGGAAGATGCAAGTCTCAGGAAATTTTACCAGCAGCTAACTGAATACTCAGCTTCTAATTCTTAGCATCATGGACTTCACTTATATGATTTAATACACTAACATAAAAAAAAGCAACCCACCAAACCCCAAACAAGGAAAAATCAAATCCTTTTCTGTAGATAAGAAAAGTACTCACTGATGCAGATCACTAATTTTCAACAATCCTAACAAAATCTGGCTGTATAGAGTAGCTCTTTCTTTCTGCCAATATCAGAAAATGTAGAAGATTGAAGAGGAAACAAAAGTTAAACCAAACCATTTAAAAATACAGTACTGTGACAGATTTTATTTCATTTTTATCAGTACTACATGCTTACTACCACTAGGAACAGACATGCCTTTTTTTTCCCCCCCCCCTTTTTTTTTTTTTAACCTATATTAAATGTTGACCTAAAGCTTGCTGTGCCTTGGAAATCTGGCTCAGGAGTTAACTGCATGAATTTTTATTGAAATAGATAAGCACTTAAGTTTGAAAATAAGACAAATACAGGTGAACAGGAAAATTAAATTACAAATTCAGTTCATACAAATATCTTATTCTATGCACTAAATCCTGTTAATTAGCTGAGATCTTTTAAAAATTCTTAAAATACTTATGAAACATTATTTACAAATTATATAAATAAATCCTAGGTCACTTTTAAATTAACCAATACAACAAAAAAGTCACCTTTTTGTACTGCGTGTACTAAAAATGTTCTTGTTTATTGATCATAACCCAGTTTGCAGTATAAAACGTTTGTTCACTTACATCAAAATGGGTTCAAATAGAAGGAAGGAAGGTATTGGTTTCAAAAGAAAACAAAACAATATTATAAATGCTTAAAATCAATGAGGCTTCTGAATGTTCTTCTCTGCACAGTTTGCAGTCATTTTTAGAAGTCCCTTCTACAGTATTTGTCTTGTGAACAGGTCATCTCAAAATAGCAGAGACATAGTTTTAGCAAAGGGAGAATTCAGTACATTGCTCAGACTTCACAAAGACCTTTTATCAGGAGGGAACGGACAGAGAACGGAATGTCAGTGGCCAGCACAAGCCTTTACAACATTTAACTTAAAAGGCAGCATTTAGAGAACTAATCACAGACTATACACATCCTGCACTGAACAGCAATCAAAAGGACTGGAAAATATACATTTAGGAAAACAAGAGACCAATGCTTTTCCATTACCTTTGTTAAAATTAATGCTTTTCTCCTTGTCTTTTGTTTTAAAACCAGCATTGACACCACCAACAACTACAACTACCTTTTTCTTTAACATAATATATGCCAGGTAACTACTGTACGTGAGAAATGTACAATAAAAGGAGAGAAACCACTGAATTTCCTATGCAGACACATGAAAATATAAAGCCATACAGATTCCAAAGTGCCATGAATACCAAATTCAAGTGATGGTTTATAGAATGTAGGAAAGAAACTAAATGGAACTTGCTCTATGGGTTGCCAAGCCCTTCAGCTGTATCTTCAGTTTCTCCTTTGGCTGCTTTGGTGAGAATTTCCATCCATTTAATCTGCAGTTCTTCATCTTCTGCACTGAAATATAGAGTTTGCTGGGACTGGCAAAGCTTGAAAACATGCTTCACTTCAAACTTCTCACCAGAACCTGGTAAACTGACTTCGTATCCAGGCAGAGGAATGGGACGTGGGCTCCGTCCATCCTAAAGAGGAGACATCAAATATAAAAATTTAGCAACCAACAGTATTTGAAATGGGGGGGAGTGGGGGTATACTGCGCGGGGAAGGAGGACTTCCTCTCAACGGGATTAAAGAAACACCTGTTTCAAACAGTTTAAAACTCGCTTTGCAGTAGTGAGATGCGATTGGAGATGCATGACCCTAGCCCTGAGACGTGGTCCCCAGGCACACAGTCAGGCTAGATGGTAAACCACAACTCCCCCCAAAGCGGGGTGTCTTGGGGGGTGCCACCAGGTGCCAGCCCCTCGGTGCCAGCGCCACGGGCGGCCAGCCCTGCCCGCGGAGCCAACGCGCGCACACATGTCAACAAGCACATGAAGGCAGTTCCAGAGTACACGTGCATTCGGCTCTCGCTCAGCACTGTAGCTTAGAAAACAAAGAGGCGATATCGACTAACTTAAAACAACAAAAGGCAATGACTTACTGGTGCTTTATTCTCCTTATTTAACAGATTCCCTGTCACAGTAAGAATACAGATCCAGCAGTGGCATGGCTGAGGATTTTCACGTAATTTCACATAATTTATGCACGTTGTCTTTTACAAAAACCCTGTGCATTAGGTACTGGCAACCAGATCCACCTGAGAATAATGAGGTGCCGTACCTTTTGAACCTCATGGGACATTTGTAAGATTGGTTTAAAGGAGACAAATAACCAGAGCTGGACACCAAGAGACACAAAGACAACTGCCAGGGAAGAGACTTCAAAATAAAAGAGAATTTCAGATTTTAAATCAATCAGTGAATCTTCTCAGAAGGTCTTGGGTTATTTATGATGCCTTTCATAGCAGTCAAGGAAGTCAAAGCTCAGATCCTTGAACATCCTTTAAAGGCCAGATTAACTCACAGATCTAAGGGGTGATACAACTCTTGAGCATCAACCAACTCCTCTACTAAGCTCTCAGGAAAGGCGTACTTCATCAAGGCAGGGTGCGCCATGATCAAGAAACTCGTTTCAACTGATGCCAGCAGAGCATTTTCAAAGGCGGGTCCCCAAACTGAAGTCGAAACCACACAGGCATCAAGCATCCGTACGAAGCCATCGCCTGCTGGAGCAGCTACTTGTGTAGCAGCCTACTCACGTTCAATGCCTCATACTGCAGTTAACGAGGCATCCCACAAATAGGTGGGAAAGTCATTCTTTCATCACCCCATACTGAATGCAGATGACTTAGTAAATCTGGAGGGGGACCACAGCTCTGAGAACAATGGCAAAAAAAAAATAATCTACTTTTCTAACACTTAGACTAAAGTAATTCAAGTTTCAGAACTGCTCACACCAACGCAAATACATACATTAACTAAAGGGGCAAAAAATACACAGTCAAAAATCTGTCTCCACATTTTATTAAATCAATACAGGTTTCCTGATTTATTAATCTACTACTTGTTTTCTTATGCAAAAATGCCAGAGTCCATCTGCTTGAAGACCAAGCACTATTCAGGGAGATTTACATTGAATTTGGGTCAAACGCTAAAGAATTCCGTTTCTGTTTGAGTGCAAGCCATTGTGTTAAAAGCAGTGTACAATTTCTAGATCCTGACACCACTGCCCCATCTGTATAACAGGGAGGTCTTGCATATACAGAAGTTTGAACTAGCATGTACAGAGCAGCTCTACACCTGAATACGTGGCAGTGCTAAAGCAAGCAAACATGGGACTGATGAACACAAAATGCACAAGAGCACATGCAAGCTCCATCATGCCTGCTTCACCGATTTGTTCTAGAAAAACAGACACTAAGACTCGTCACATGTAAAACTGGAGGTTGCCCACAACCATGAAAAATGATATCGTTTGTTACTGAGAAGTGCAGCGTAAGAGCAAATTGACATTTGAATTGTACCTGTTACACCTACCCAACGTACGCAGACACGGGCAAATGAAGCAGACTGCCTTTGGTCTTGCTTCCTCCCTTTTCTTAATATGATGCCTTTGCCACTTTCTCTGTACCTGCCCGATCCAAAAGGAAGGGATTTCAATTATCTCTGGCAAGCTGCACTACCGATAGAGAAAGGTGAAGCACTCAGCCTCCAGTCATACCACACACCGAACCAGATCTCTCTGGGGGACCATGAGCACCTCTGGATTTCCTCTGGCACTGAGCCCTTCCCCTCCTTCCTGGAGTCCAACAAATCCAGGGGCTATCCTGCACCCTCGAGGAATTTGGGCCCTCCACCGAGCACCCATGTAGGATTCACAGGCCTTACAGAGAGATAAATTTCATATTCCACTTTTAAGAGCTGACTGGGTTTGCCTGGTTGAATTGTTTGTTTTTTAAAAAATATTTCTGTATGCAACATACTAGGGTTGCATATCAGTATTTCATCAAACCAAACTACCCAGTGCTGAGAAGAGCTTCCCTTTAGGGTTGATTTCAAAAATCTTCCTGATTGATAGTGAACGATACACAAAAAAACTACTGGTTGTGTAATACTGTCAGCGGTCACAAGCACTGCACGCTCATCCTGGCTCTAAGCAGGTAAGTAATTGTGTTATTTATCTAGGTGATTACAGCAGCATTTATTTCTTGTTCTATTACAAGCATTACAACACGCAGGGTTTAAGATTCGGGAGCGGATAGCTCAATTCCACCATACTGGCAGTCGCCCCTCCACGCAGACACCCCACTCGTGCTGCACATCCCTGCAGCGCAGAAACTCTCTTACACAAATATCCAGAACAGCAGTTACCTGCTGATGGACCACTATCATTTTCTCCTGCTACTTTTTTGAGCAGGCTTGGAAAATCCCTGTTTCTCCACCCCAACTCCACTCTCTACCCACTCACAATCTAATCCCAACCTTGCAAAAATCGTTGCGAGACTCCCGCGATGCAATGGTGGGCTGAGATGCACAGCTCTGCGGGACCATGAGAAAGGACACACAGAGCTTCCTGCAGGGCCAGTTAAAGCTTCACCTAAACAGGGTCAACAGATAAGTCACAAAAATACTTCTCTAAAACCCTTAGCTTGACTTCAAAGTCAGCTACTCCCTTATATTCTAGGAGTACGTCATATTTATGTGATGAATAAAAGATTTTTCTTCAGAATTTATAAACCAAAATTTTCTCTTGGAGCAAACCTGATAATTATTATATACACTAGCCCTCACTACACTACATTTACCCTCCGTATTTCTCCAAAATTCCTTACTTCTCTAGCTAGCTGGGACTCCTTAATTCTGCATTTCTCAATCAGGTGTACGTTTATGGCAGAGCTCTGGAGGTACTTGTGTATTTTTCAAGGCCGATGGGGGCAGAAGCTCCAGGTGAAGTCCTTGGAAAGACAGAGTAATTTCTATAAAACTGGTGATCCTTAAGCTTGAGGTGGTCTTTGCTTATAAGCAAACTTTTACAATTCCACTCAGATAAACATGACCAACATGATAAACCAGGTATGACTTCCATACCTAAGCAAGATGTGAATTTTATCCTTGTGCAGAAAGATTTACGCAAGACTTGAACCATGAATACTCAGGGGATTAATTCATTTTCCTGGAACAAGGATCTAGAGCAAAAGAGCAGGTTTCTTCCTATTTTAAAGCCTGTGAGTGCTATCTCCATTTGCACTGGAATCTCTTCTTCGGTGTGTGGGCCAGGGTGCAGAGGATGAAAGCTGTCCGCGCTTTTACTGTACCAGAAGCTCCGGATTCAGCTTGGTTTACTTCTTCCTCCCAAGAGGCATTTGCTATTTCTATTCTTTTTAAAAATAATCCCCCAACTTTCAAACTCCTATGGTCATGCTTCGCTTGGTCTGTGTTTCAAGATCTTTAATACCATTGTTGGCGATACTGTTCCCAAAAGGCACCTCTGTTTTTAGGCACTGAAATGCTTCTTGACAGGCCTGAAGAGGTTTGTGAGATGCGTTTATGTGGTTGTACAGAACAACATCTGGGAAAATAACACTCAAACACATGAGTGGTTCCCGTCTTGATTCCAGACGTTTAGCCACCAGGAAAGAAGCTCTGGAAGAGATTTTTCTCAGAAGTCCAGTGAATAGCAAGATCGTTGGGTTAATATCAAGGAATGGGATTTGCTTTGTGATTTTTCCTGCAAACTGAAGAAGGTATACAAGTGGGAGTGGTATGCCCTTGAAGAAGGGACTCATTTTTTTTTGTTCATAGTCTTAGTCTGCAACTGGTGATTCCTGACAGTAAATCCTGGCTTGGTCATTGAATATCGAGATAGATCAACCTTGTCCTGTATGCTTTCTTGCTGCTTTATCAGGAGATTTATTTCACACCTGAAATAGTTGAGGACACTAACCACTAAATGTAACTGTTGTAAAATCAACAATCAATGTCAAAGGCACCCTTTTCCCCTAAAAACCAGGATCTTACTAATAATATCAAGAGAGACTCAAGGTCAAATTTGGCAGGACATGGAGCAAAGAACATACTGCCTGAAGCACAGAAGCTCCTCCAGCTTCCAGCCCTGGCTTTGCAGGACTGTCAGGAGGCAGCCCGGAGAATCCAGCATCATTCTGCTGTGCGCTAAATACAACTGATTTATGTCCCGTGGGTTATTGCTTGTGCTCTCCTGAGACAATTGGTTGGGCACTAGGAGAAATTCTCTTTCATGGTAGGTCATACCACGTAAGAGGTGTTGCTTCCTCTCAATTCCTTGTTCCAGTTATCGCTTAGATGACATATGCTGCTCCTGGGTGAAAGAATTTAGACCTCTCTCCCTCTATTCCCACTCTCCTTCCCCAAGCTTGCCCATGCGAGACACTCTGGCGTGCTTTCTGTGGGATACAGGGCTTGCACTCATCCTTTGCTCAGGCACAATTTTCACACCAGTTGAAAAGTTTCGCAGTGAAGTTTTCTCTCTGCTTTGCTTTTTAAAGCTTTTTTCCTTTCCCCAGCCTCTAACTCCAGAGAGATAGGAAGACTGGGTTTGTTGCATTAATTTTTAGTGCTTCCTCTGAGGCCATTGGCTTTTCCAACTTGTAATTTCAGTCATGCATCTCCTGCTGCCTAGGAGGGAAGCCAGGCAGCTCACTGCCCGCGGGATGAATTGGAAGCTTTACCCAGTGTGGGGTTTGAATCCCAGAAGAAGCCAAGCGGGCTGAGTCTGGAGCTCCACATTCAAGCTTTCAGCCTCTCCAGCACCATGCTTAAAACATTACACACGCTTGTTTAAAACCAGAGGGGTTCTTGCTGACAAGTAACAAACAAACACACTTGTAAGGACAACGTGCACTTCTTGTTGAACATTTGCTGTGGGGTAAGCTTTACCTTGAGTAGCTTTATAAAATCATGGGTAATATTTAGTTTCGAGACTGTTCCTAGCTACAGCCATACAAACTGATGCCAATGAAAAGCAAACCCTTGGTACCACTACAATTACAGCAGAGTAATGGTAAGTTGAATTCAGACCCATTTCTTCTTCCATCCCACCCAGAAGATCAAACAAAGCTGTATATAAACGTGTCAAATGCCAAATACATAATGAGATATGAGGGATCGCGTTTCAGCATTGTCATTCTTTATCTTCAGCTCTAAGGAAGCATGACTGATATTTCTATTTTGGATATACTATATCTTGGATATAGATATTTCTGTCACTTGACTTTCATCACACACAAATGCTAGTTCAACAGCACACTTAAAAAAAATAATGCTTACCACAGTAATTATTTCAAATAAAGATAAAATCACATGATGCTACAACAAGGAGCTTTACCAAACATAGTCTGTTTTTCAGGTTGAAGAACATCTACATTTCCACAAATTCCTCCACCCTCTCAACCCAGAACTAGGTTTAAAAAAAAAAGAAAAGCTTGAACCAGCAATCACAATATTCAGCCTGCTTTGCAGCTCTATACATTTTACAGGAAAACGTTTTCCCTAATGACAGTGTAATAAAACCTTTGAATATACCTGTCTGAAACCTCTAAAAAAACCAAAACATGACCAAATTATCCTGGTCTTGTTCTTTTTTGTTAAAAAATGGAAAAGAAAAGCTGTGAGCTTATTTGCTCACAACCATATGAGCAGTAACTAGAGATTACAAGGAAATCTGAAATCTCTGAGGCTTTGTGCTATATTCAGAATATCAAGCTCATTTTTGTTGTTGAAACCAAGCCAAATCCTTTGACCTATTTCTCAGCTTGACATATTTAAACTTATGCACTTTTTTTTCAGTCATATGTTAACCCTCATGAATGTTATTTTACCTGGCTACTTCCTTGCAGATACAGAACAAGAGGTTCAGTCTTGGGGATGGTGACCCACATTTTGTACCAAGTCTTCCCTTTTTCAAGGAACTGGAGGTAGCTGCTGAAGAGGCTGTTTTCAGCTGCTAAGATGCTTTGCTTCTGGATGAAGGAAAACAAAAAAAAAAGAAAAAAAGCTGATTCCACTGATGCTTATGTGGGCAAAATACTCAGAATTACGTGTAATATGTGCTTAATTTAAGTTGTCCAGAGTCAAACAATACTGTGGGGCAAACGCTGGATAGCCCATGACTGAACAAAAGTTTAACTGTTATTATATACCACCAAGAAATAGCACAATTCCATGTAACAAAGGCAGATACTTGAACCACCATTCCCAGCGGTTCTGAAGTTAAATTCCACCTCCACCCAGTAAACTGAGAATGGCAATTAAGATGATGCAGCTAGTTTCTTGCTTAGCAAAGTAGGCTGGGAGATGATTTCAAATTAATGAAAAAAGGTGTATTGAGATACACTCTTGTGCATGGATGCAGAGACATGTGAGACAGATCAGAGAGCACTAGGGAAAAAAAGATTGAAAGAAATTCTTGTCTTTTGATAGAGAGCAAAGAAAAACAAAATTCCTGTTCACATTAGGCTTTGCACAGAAGTCTCCTGGGGATTTCTGACATCTGTTAATAACATTTGTAAAGCGGCAATCTCCTCAGCTGCTATTAACCTTGTTAAGAAAGTTTAATGTAAATAGGAGGGAAAGAAAAAAACCTGCTCTGGTCTTTCTTTTTTCTACACCTACTTTCTCGCATTTTACCTGATCCTTTGAAGATTTAGCACAAGGCGAGAAGCCTGAGCATATGAGGGGAAAATTACTCTTTTCCTTGGGTTTGTACAGCTTTCTGCTGTAATCTGCTCTCTGAAGTAAAGCCCTATGTCACATTTCACTGGTTTGCTTTTTGGCTTTTCAGATTAACAGAGGTCTCGGCTGGGTAGGTGGAGGTTTTCACTTTACTGTCAAACAGCTCTGCTGAAACAGCGCTAGAAAGTTTATCATGAGATACCACAGACGTATAGTTAAGTATAGACACATATGAAGTGCTCATCATCTGTAGGCAAAGCTGTAGCGTATATCTGAAGTTTTTGATGGTATCAAGCTCTGGATCCAGAATCTTCTCTGCACTCTGCAGACGTGGTAGCTCAGGGCAGGGCAATGTGCATTCGTAGCAGTACCCCACTTTGTATTTCTGAGATTCTGGACGTGGCTGGGTACGAAGCTGACAAAGCACCTGAGCAGTAGAGTTCACTCTGGCACATTGTGCTGGTGTAATTTTACCTGGGTAGGCACATTTAGTAGGCTGGAAAGAAATATGACATGCTGGGAAGCAGAGCAGGGCAGGGTCTAAGAAGACTATCCGAGGAAGCATTTACTATCGGAGCTCTGGATACGCACTGGTGGGTTTACATTTCTTGCTCAGAGTCTAGCTCTTTTCCACATAGTTGGTTCTGATGAGAAGCATAACAAGGCTGAAGGCAGGCTGGGGGCTCAGCAGGGTGGCTTCCAGAAAGATGTTTTTCAAGGTAAGATGTTTTTCAGTACAGGCTGCAACCGTTCCCAGTTTTCCATGCAGTGCTCAAAGCAGGACGGTATATGTCAGCGTATTGGGGGAAGGATGATTTGCGATGAAGTTAAGTTTCAGTGGCTCTTTCAAGAATCTGAGGTACCCTCAGAAGATGTGTCCCTGTGGGTCCACTTTCAATTGAGATGAATGTCCTCTTTGTACATATGCAGTGACTTCTGGCTGTATTTCAGAGGTAAAAGAAATAAAAAACTTTTCTTCAAGGTGGCCCATGAAAAGCGTGGCACGTAATGGTACTCACAGCTCTGCCTGTAGTCTAAAAAAAGCATTGGTAAGAGAAGGTTCAGTTGTTGTGGGTGAGAATAAAACAAATCAGTTTGCCAATATGTTTCTTGTTCTTGTGAAAAATAAGGGTAAGATGGGCCATTATCATCGTATAAAGCTTGGTGACATCTGTGGCAATTGTGAAGCAGTAGTTTACCCAGTTTACACTTTGTGGAAGTCTCCTTTTGGAGAAAAGAGTCTGCATTACAGCAGCTTTGAGAAAGTGTGAGTGAATCCTGATAGTCTTTCAGAAGGATGTCATGCTTTTGCACGATCAACTAAGAAAAAATTTGTTGCAATGATATTTTGACAGGATGTGAAATAAGGAGTGCACAAATATCTCCTATATAGAGTTAAAAGTGAAAAAACAAATCTTATTTTGCCAAGTTTTGCCAATAGTTACTGTGCACAACTCAGGGTTGGAAATGCACCATAATAAAAAGAAGCCAGAAGTTTCTCCTCTTTTTTGCTACCTTGAAAGCTGAAGCTTAGCTGCAAAACCTGTGCACATCCCTGAACGATCAACATCCTACAACGAACGCTCACCATTTACCAACAGCATTCAGGCTGCACGCACGTTCAATCCAAGTTACATGTCAGAGCTCAAATACCATGGCAGGTGGAAAAAGACAACCAAACTATTTTACTTGTTCTAAAAAAATACATTAGGAAAAAAAAAACCCAAAAAAACAACAAAAAACAGACACTCAGAAGGAGAGCTAGCACACCAAAGGTTTCTTAGCTAAATACTATACCTCTGCAGCTAGTCTCTTCTTTTGTTCTCCGATGGATTCCACTCCAGGGCTGCATGGGCTTGCTGGTAACTGCAGAAAACACTCTTTACACACTCTATTATGACGGCTATTATCTGCAAGTGGTTTGAATTCGGAGCATTTTGCACAGATCACCTGTATCAGAAAGATGATGCTTTATTATTTAGCCATCATTAAAACACAATGTTTCTCCAAAGAAAGGAACTTGCAGAATGGTTGTTATTAAAGTAAAACCTGGAAAAATAATGTAAGCATAAGATAGAGCAACCAATATAATATTTACTTTATTTACCTCCATTAACAATTAACATTTTAGTGATCCCATGCTGTGTACCAATATGCCTAATTAAAGAAAACATATGCCTTTTGGAAAATACTTTATGATTACCGTCATGCAAGTTTGCTTTTCTTTTCTTATAAGCCCTTAGGAGTCAAAAAGGGCTTAGGTTGACAAAGTGATTAGTACTTTTTAATGCCAATCATAAGATGGTCTAGGAAGGACTGATTGTGAAGAGTAAAGGTGGCTGACACATCCTCATCAATTAGGCAGCTCAGATAAGATAGAATAAGGAATCAAAAAATCACTGACCATTTTGGAGATACAGTCCAGCACATTATCAATTAAAAACTATTTGTCTGATGCCAAATTAACACATTTGATTCCTTTCCTCAGCTGCCAAGAGCACACAATGACACATCAGTCCCATGAAACCAAAGAAAGAGTGATGGATCTGCAGCTCGGGAACCGCTTTTCACGCTTAAAATCTGCCTCTACCACTTGCTCTTGCACACATGCTCCAGGGAGAGAAACTGTCCCCCGGGGTGCAAGGCAGGGGCAGTCAGCCAGATTTGACATCCATTCTGAATTCACTGTTAATTCAAGACGTTAATTACTATATGAAGGTAACTGCGTTAATTCAGCAAGTGTTAAGTGAAGTACTGTCCTGCCAAGCTATATAAGCAAAAGCAAGCTAGCATTTTCAGATACATGACAGTCTTTCCTTGAGATTAATTAACTTATTTAATTTGAATGCTATTGCCGTATCGCAAAACATTGCATAACCAACAACTGTTTAACAATAAATTATTAATAATGTAATTCTTATTATCTCTCTTCCAAGGGAGAAAGCTATTATTTCATTTCTTTAATAATATTGAGCTTTGCAATGGAACATTGTAAACCTCCAGAAATGTATTTCATTATTTTAGTAATTATTAATAAAAACAAACCCAGAAGGTTGACAAAACCAACTCTGGTGCAAAAGTGTCTCTGCCACAGTAATTTTATTTCAATTGCTGAGACTGAGGTTTCTTTAAAAATCTTAACTATGCATTTAGGTCTCCCTTCAGCTGGAAATTTCTCTCTACTTCACATGAATAATGGTATTTAAATAACATTATTCTGTACTAGCTACACTAGGAACACTGAACCATGAAACTCAAAGTCACAGAAGGCAGGTTTCAAGTCATATTACAGAAATCAATCTCATCTTGGCTGTGGTTGTGATTTTCAAAAAAAAAAAAAAAAAAAAAGAGAATTAAGCTGTCAGTAATGGCACTGGGAAAGGGTGGCTGAGTGCCTTCAGTAGCCTGGCCTTGAATCTCTAGGACCGATTTTTTTTGACTTTCCAAGCAGGAGGTGCTTTGGCACACCTATCTTTAATATTTTATGTCCAGCTGTTCATCCTAGAAAAAGCTGCTGTGTGCAGTAAGGCTCTCAGAAGGCCATTCTGTTTCTGCAAACAAAATATAGTGGATAACCCCCCTCCCCAGATACACACACATCCCCAGGGAAGGAACTACCCTTCTTTTCATCCAAAGGGGCTGTATTTGCCTTTAAACCAGCACAGACTAGGCCCCTGGCACCGGAGTTTTGCTCTTTTTTTCCCCGATTCCCAGGGCGTCAAGCAAATGGCGAGACCTGCTCCCTCAATGACCTGCCGCGAACCAGAACATCCTTTAGTTCCTGCACTGAAAAAAAAATAATAAAATCTCAACAGTCTCTGCAGAACAAACTAAGAAGCTCAGTGCATTCTGATACTTACTGCTCCACACTGCTTACAGTGGTGCCGCCTTTTAGTGATGGAGTTAAAGCTTTCACTGCAGCTCTTGCAAGCCTGTTTCTCCTTGTCTCGTTTGGATTTGGAAGATTTCCTACAGGAATCACTCTGAAATGAAAAGTACAATTATGTTATTTTCTTTTTTTTATTAAAAAAACCCAAAACTGCAAAACAATTCATAGAGTTCTCCTGCTGACAAAGATCCTCGTTGGGTTTCACACAATTTTACAAAAGAATTCAGGTCGACCGTGCCAATGGCCTACAGCTGGATGGCTGGCTCAGCCATCGGGTGCCTCTTGGTGTGACATTTTGTGATCTCAGATTGCTAGAGCCGACTCTTCAAGTCCCTCTGTGCTCACTTGTGCCCTTACAGCCACCGAACGACTTCATCTCACAGTCTGTTGAGGAGGAGGAGGAGGAATGGGCAATGTGGGCTTGTCAGGAAGAGCTTTCCTTCCCGCACTCACCTCTTCCTCCCTGCTGCAACGCCACTTGCTTAAGGTTCATGTTGTTGACTTTGTGAGTGCATTGTAAACTCTTCTGCTCACAGGGAGGAGATGTGAACGTTTTGGGAAAAATGGTTTGACTGAAGAAGTGAACAGTGCTGGCAGTGGATTTTTGCACCACCCAACTTAAAATGCTTAATCTAGGAGTTTCCTTAGGCTCCCTCCCAGCCCATGATGAAACATAAAACCCCTCAGGAAGACAAGGACCCCCACACCAGGGACCTGCTGTCAACTGCTCTTGGCAGAAAACACCTTCTATTAGCTGTCTAGGTAGCTGAGCAAGCATAGCCTCTTCAGCTAAGCACCTAAGCTGGTGCCTAAAGTTACTCGGTATAATTAAACCCAATTGTACAATTTTCTGATAAACTGAAGAACATTAACATGACAACGTGCAGTTCATAAAAATACAGCTTCACGTAGAACTTCAAGCAGACTCCCTGTTTTTTCTCTTTTAATACAAGTTATACAAGGCCAGAGGTCAAGTATCGTGGTGGGAGAAAAAAGATAACCAATTTTATTTGTTTTAAATAAATACATTTTAAAAAACAACAACAAAAAAGAGAGACTCACAAGGGCAGCTAGCATACAAAAAGTTTCTTAGCTAAATACTAAAATAGATAAACAAACAAATAAATAAATAAAGACTATTCCTCCGTCCTAGTCAGGATGGCGAGGTGCAAGGCAAGAGCAGCTCCCCTGGGCACCCCCAGCCAGGCAGCACCTGCATGGAGACCCCAGCCCAAAGGAGGGGGCTGTATCGTGTTCCTTTGGCACAGCTCTTTCATGAGAAGAGGCTTGATAACCCTCTTCATTTTCATTTGCAATAATTTAACATACTACTGGGAGAAGACACATTTCCTCTAAATCAACAGAGCAGAAGTATTTTACATTCTTTCTGAAAATCACCCAGGTGAAGGTCAGGCCCATTGCAGGTGTCCTGGGTCCAGCTGGGATAGGGTTAATTCTTCGCAGAAGCTGGGAGTTGGGCATAGCCGGATATTCGATACCATGCTGACGTCATGCCCGGGATATAAGGGGAAGCTAGCCGGGAGAGGGGTCTCTTTTGTGAAGCTCGTGGTGGTGAGATTTTCACTGTATCAGTGTTTCCATTGTACTCTATATACTGTCTTATTGTTATATTCTCCTTTCTTTGGTTTTCCTCGTGTGGTATTATTAAAAATCTGTCATTATCTCAACTCACGAAGTTCCACTTTTTTTTCCTATCCCTCCCCATTTTACCGGGAGGGGAGTGGGAGGGGGGAGGCGGTGTTGCGACCACGTGGTGGTGGTGGTCCTGACACCAAGACAGCAGGTTACACAGAATCTGGACTCCTTGACACCCCTCTTCCCTTTAAACCATGTGTGCATACTAAGTCACAATTTAAGTTCACTTGAGAGAGAACGATTGGCTCAAATTTCCCCGTCTTCAAAGCCTTTATTTAACGCAAGGATGTGGGCAGGGGTTGGGAGGGAAGGCGGCAGCAATTCCAATCAGCCCATACATAGATCTCCAGGTGGGGTCACCAGCACCAGCGAAATTCTGCCATTTGCCCTAAGGTCTCACCTTAGTGGTTACGACTAAGCTGCAGAAGTCACTAATACAGGTTTTCAGGCCAATTAAAAAGAAACCACAAAACCACAACCCAAATTTTATAAGATGACACTACTTTCCCATCTTTCAGCTTGAGTCTCTGCCCTGCCATTCCCTGGTTACAGAGGAAAGCACACTGTCTTGCAGCAGAGCTATTGAAACCACCCTGGCTTGTAACGGCATTACACAACAAAACCACAACTAATGACTTCTAATTGGATTGGATCTTTTCATTTTGATTATCTTTTCTATAGCTGCAATAGCAATGTTTCAAACTTGTATACAACAAGTACATGGGATGCTTTGCAACTCAGCTTGGTGAAACCCAGTCATACGGATTTGTTCATTCAGGAAAGTCACTGTACCCCCATAGGCATCCACATTAATGGCTCAGCAAACAGAGTGCCTGTAAATCCACGTCCTCCCCCACACATAAGCAGAGTGCAGTATTTCACTTTTCTCATGAAGAACCAGATGTAACCAGCATGACACTGAGTAATACCAACTGAACAATGCCTCAGATGAATCACTGGCAAATATGTTCCTTTCAGACTCTATTAGACATATTTGACAAACGAAAGAAAGCAGGAAGGGTATTTTATTGGGCAAGATTTGCTATGACAGTTGCACAAGATTTTATTTAAGACCATTATATTTACTTCAGACCATTATATTTGTACTTGCGCTGTAGCATACAACAAGCATTTATTACTAACTTCACTAATCAAAAAAGGCCCCGTATAAAGACCTCTTTAAGTGTTTGATGAATACCAGCAATGTTTCATAACATTTCTCAACATTATGAGAATACAGTTAGAACACAAGAGTTTGAACCACTGCTATTGCAGCCGTACAAAAGATAATAAAAATAAAAATGTATTTTCTTTACGACTCGCGAATTCCAATGAGCAATTATAAAAGAAAGACTTATTCAATATTATGTTATTTAACTGCTGACACTGGGAAAATATTAAGAAGCCCTTTGCTTTCCACTCCTGCGAAAACTATGAGACTTTGCTGCATGAGCAGTCCCCTCATGCCACCCAGCAATGGCTCCGGAGCTGACCTTGCCACGTACTCTTAACTATACACCATCCAAACAGAGAGGTTTTATAGAAAACAAGGACAGGCATCATAATTCACAAACCTTGGTCATCAAAGATAAATTTAACCGCCACTTTGCAACTGTGTTCTTCATTACACAAGCTATATTATTTACTGTAGATGTATGTTAAGAGGGAGCCTAGTACAAAGCTGCTGGAGCTTCAACTGGAACATCCGGATACTAATGCACTTGAAGAATTGTCATATTTCTCATCTTTCTTGGTGTATCCAGCTCTGTTTTGAAGCTGGTCATATGACATGAAAAAACACTTGCATAAAGTCTGTCCAGAGCCAGGATCTACAACTTCTTTCAGACTGGGCTGTTTTGACCACTAATTCACTTTTACTCTACAGCTGCATTTAACTCTATAAATCTTGACAGTTTCCTCCAACTTTAAGATTTTGGTGGAAAAAGAGCATGTACCCCAGCGAGAGGTACAACGCGTGCCTAGAGCGAAGCGACCGCAAGGTGAAGGCCTGTGGCTGGCCTGCTTAGGAAAGCAGACATCACCTCATTAGTGAACCACTGAAGCCTCCATTTGCTTCTGCGAAGCAGGGAAGAAACACTGACGAGTTTGTAGGAACAGCAAGAAAACCGATGGGCTCAGGAGACTGCTGTTGTGTTACTTGCTATATATTTCATTCTGTCTGGACCAGTAGGTAGAAATGAAGCCTCAATGCTGCACATGCAACACATACACAGCCTGAGGAGACTCTGACATGGGCAGATGCATGAGCAGCAAAGGGGTTTCCCATCTTTTTCTTCTCGTTATGCTTTAGCAGCTGCATATTTTCCATTTACAAATGACATATTTGGAGACACCCGCAATGGGGCAGAACATCATCAGGTGCTTCTGGAAATGCGGAATATATGTGAGAAATTGATTTAGACTACATAGTATATTTTGTACTTTGTAATGCAGCAAAATTGTTTGGTTTCTTTCTCTATATGCCAATGGACATGCAAGATTATACACAAGACAATCTTCCACCGGCTCGTACATTCCCTGTACACACAGAAGGCTGAGCATGAACGGTACAAACTCTGCTCGCAGGGCAGTGCAGCAAACAGGTACCACAATGCTGTACTGCAAGTGGATGATATTTACTGCATTTGGTTTTCACTGTCTGGTTATGCTAACGTGCAACACTGAAGAAAACCTGAGCAGACTCTTCGGGAGACTCAGCAGAACCACAGGAAGGATATCTTAGTTTGCTGACCACCACTACCACCAAGTGGTTTGCATGTGGAAGCTGTTAAGCACAGAATGTACTTGCTTGTGCACTCACCGAGACATTTCTAAAGGAACATCATAATTAAAAATTAATATTTTCTAAAGCTGCAACTAACGTCTGAATTCATTGCTCACACTGATGTTATCCGTTTGCTACAATGCAGCAGAATGAGATCCCAGAATGAATACTACACAATTTTGGGTATTTTTAGCTTTGTGTTTTTGATCAGCTCCATTTTTATTTCTCAGGAATTAAGATTTTTCTTTAAATACACAACTTAAGGAAAATTACTTAATGTCTCAAGATACGCTATGCAAACCATTGACACAACTATTTATAATCATCTCAAAAGATATAATTTTTTTTTAATTTAATTACAACAAAAATTTACATTTCCCTAAAACCTGAGGCCAACATCTACCTCATTACAGCATCTGTAACTCACGGAACAGGGGCACTAATTGCAAAACTGACTACCAGTAAATAAAACACGGCTTAGGGAAAAAGTGAAGTGTGAACAAACAATAAACAGCAAGGAGTACACTAATTACAAAAACTTACTTTTAATAAGCTCCTGTTTGTACAGGACAGGTTGCTGGCTTATTTAACAGCTTTTCATTGATACTCTGTAAACTCTAGCAGTAGGTTACAAGCTTGGCCAGAGCTCTGGA